AAACTTACTTTTTTTTACTGAATTATAATTAAGGATACCTTACTTCAAGAAAATATGTAGTTCATCATCATCATAAGGTCGTTAGGCCTAAGACTGGCTGGACACGTACCTCCACTCTTTCCTATCCTGAGCTAAATTTCGCATTCCCGAAAACTAGAGCAACCCACAACCATTAACTATCTGCGAACAGTAATCTAACCTAGGTCTACCTCTACCCCTCCTAACTCCTGTTTCTGCCTCTAATATGTCTCCGAGTAGACCTTCATGCCTGAGAAGGTGTCCTACCAACCTATTTCGCCTATTTTTTATTGACATCCATAGAGTCCTCTGTTCACCTATTCTTTCTAATTCCTCTTCATTTCTAACATTTTCTATCCATCTTATCCTCATCATTCGCCTATAACACCACATTTCGAATGCTTCTAACCTTTATTTGTAGCTCATTTTATAAATAAAAAAACTAAAAATACAGTAAAGCGAATTAAAAGTGTTTTAATATCACAGTAGAATCTTGATAACTTAAACCTCTATGAATTCATAAAATTTTGTGTTCCCTTCCCCTCGGTGTCCAAAACCGCTATTACTTAAAATAAAAACCCTCTATAAATTAAACGAATAATTTGTGCATCGCACCTCAGTAAGCAGTGAAAAGTGGTTTGAATCGGGACAAAGTCTTCTATGTAAAAGACAAAGAATTGCTAAATTTCCTAATTTGGAAAAATGCTTCTTGTTTACATGGTTTAGACAGTGTAGAAATGAGTTTTAAGTCACTGGAAATACATAATTTTAACGCTTAAACTTAAACCATTAGTAAGTAAAAGCCTCATAAACCCAAATTATTTTAAATTTCCCTTGGTCTTTAACTTATCGAGGTTCTGTTGTATTTTGTTGAAATTAACATTGTTTTATTTATAAATTTCTTATTTTAGTAACAACATTAAAAAGAACTCGAAAAACGACTGGTAAAGTTAAGAAATCTTTGGATAAACTTTTCTGACATGTAAAAGTGCAAAGGAATGGCAATATAATAAGTCAAAATCGTCCCAAAATAAAATTCGTAAGATAAATGAAAGCGGTTTCAGCAATTCTAAAAACTTTTCATTATCCAACATAGCTCGGTTTTGTGACATTGACAGTTGCAAATAATGTTGAAAGTAATAATGCTGAGATTAAATTGGGACAGTATAGGGACATTCTATTATTCCATACAATTATTATCTTTTGAATAATACAATGTGGTATGGGGAAATTCGTACAAGTACCTTCAGCCATTCTTTCATATAAATAAATAAGTCAAATACACGCAATTTAAAGCTTATGTGGCTTGTTATACTTTGTTTAAAATATTTTGAGAGTTCTGTTAATTTAGGACATTTTATAAAGGCGCCGTTGACATTTTCAGATAGACGCGATTAAGAAAACACAACACACATTCATCAAATTAAAAATTTTCACTTGTGTGTCGTCAAAGAAACGTACATTTTTTAAACATAAAATTATACTGCCACAATAAACACTAAGTATGTAAAATAAAATTATTTTTCCTTTCTATACGTATATTTGTTTTGAACTCGCAAATCACAATAAGTAGTGCAATTTTTAGAGCGGAAATTTAACCTTTTTTAATTCCGTATTCTTTTACGGCGTTCTTCGGATAGGTTTATTGGAAAATCGGTCGAAATTCATAATTCATCTAGTGACCGGAGGGCGTACAAGCGATAAAACAGAATAAATAGGTGCAAGTTTAATGTTCGCTATCGCGACCTGTATCACGGTATGGCCTGTATTCATAGTATCGGCTGGAATCGCGTCAGAAATGCATATAATGAAAAGTTATGGCGTTATGCAAAGTATAATGGCGCGTGCTTGAAAAATGGCGATTGATAGGACACCCATAATCATGCCTTTAATTCAATTTCGCCTATTTGCATATCGTGCTCAAACTGAGGCTTGGACAACATGCACGAACACGCGCACTAACGTTGTTTACAAATTAATCTCGGCAATTAGACGGGAGAAGGCATTTACCAATATAAATACACACCACCGCCGCTGCCACCATTGCTAACGCTAACGCCAACGCGCTGCCACCATATTGATTGTAATTGAAGGCTGGCTGCAGCATACCGATAATTAGACGAAATGCTCATCAGGCAAATGAATTTAAGCAGACCGATTCGTGACCACATTGCGCTTTGATCACGTCAAGTAGAATTTGACAGATTGAAATTTATGTGTAGGGATGTATTATGTATACGTCTACGTATGTGTGTTTGTCTCTTCCTATAACTACCTACCTACAGGTAGATAATATTACGTCACTGAAAGGTAGACGGGAAATACGCCGACTGATTGACTGTAAACTCATTCCGATTTTCAGCAGTACATACAAGGCGAGCCAACGAAACGAGACAATTTTCAAAAATGAAATGTGTGCTGGGACACATAGTAGAAGCGAAATTTCAACGGACAAATGGAAAAAAGAATTGCAACAAAATTTTTACTTCAAGTTTACGAGCAGATTGCTAATGTACTAAAAATTGTGTTACGATTCGTTTTTTCACTTGTCCGTTGAAGATTCACTTCTACAATGTATTCCAGCACACTTTTCGTTTTCACAGGTCTACTGCAAATTATGATTTGGTTCTTAAACAGACCGCAAATAGAAGCAATGATGCCCAGCCACGTGGAGAGCGGAGGTAAGAAAACAACAGCTGAGCACAGCACACGCCGCCGCGACTCTAGCGGACTCCCCGCTTCCTGCGCGGCTGCGCATTACATCCATCTAATACAGCCGTTTCCCTCTCTCCTCCTCCTCCAGACTTTCTCTCCCTCGGCATATGCCGCGGTACCGCGACAATTTCACTTCCTGGACAGCCGTTGGGGCTTGGGAGGGTTATTTTAAGACATATTTGTTTCTAGGCACTCCTAAAGGAAAAAGTCACATGCATACATGGATTAGGTAAACGGTAGTGTCTCGCACGGACGAAACATGCTCTATTTTGGTAATACATCAAATCGTCCCTTTTCGTTAACTCACTCTGTATAATCTGACCAATCATTAGGGGTCAAACGAGTATGAGTTTGAGAATTTGAGTTGTTGATTTCGTGTAGATGTTTATTTTTATGTAAAGGGCAACTTTGGTTTCATCAGTTCAACTCATTTTGAATTATAAAGCCTTTTTCAACAAGGAAAATATGACGTCGTAAGTGTAAACGTAAGTAATTATAGAGGTGCCCAAAATTTTTTTATTATCAAAAATATTTCACCAGCGTCCGACTAAAAAGAATTGGTTGGATTGCGGCTGACTCGTCTTTTGTTTTTCAACTAACTTGCAACTGTCTGGTTAAGGAGTGTGAACAAAGTCGGCGCGGTGGCGGTATTGATCAGAGCAGGGGTTAGTTTATTAGGAAAGACATAAACACACCAATCCTATTTCCAGATATGGCGATGGAAAACCAAAATGCTGACGCAAAGCTGTTTCCGTTCGACAGCTACGTCGAATGCGCGACCGTATACATAATACATAGACGTTGTTGTCGGGAATCGTTAAATTGTCTCAACATTCACACATTTTGCCGTTTACGTTCCTCTTTTGCAACAAAAGAGAAACCGAACAGATTGTAGAATGAATTTCTTTTATTTCCATGTTATTTAGAAGAGATAGAAGTACCTCTATACCATCATAAAAGGAAACACGGTGGGAATGTTAAAGCATTTTAATTTCTCTTCTCTTGTCCAGCCCCAAATTTATTTGGATATCAGTTAATGAAAACTCAATTGGAACTTGGTAACATTACCTCTCTCCTTGAATAGTCATCATTGTCATAAGGTCGTCAGTGCTAAGACTGGTTGGACATGCACCTCCACTCTTTCCTAAACTGAGCTAATTTTCGCATTTCCTTGAAACTAGAACATCCCACATCCTTAACTATTTGCGAACAGTAATCTAATCTAGGTCTACCTCTACTCTTCTTAACTCCTGTTTTTGATACTAATATGTCTCTGACTAGACCTTCATACTTGAGAAGGTGTCCTACTAACCTTTCTCGCCTATTTCTTAATGACTTAAGACCATAGAGTCCTCTGTTCTCCTATTCTTTCTAATACCTCTTCATTTCTAACCTTCTCTATTTACGGTTTTCTCATCATTCGTCTGTAACACCACATTTCGAACGCTTCTAACCTTTTCTTTTCCGCCTATATATGTTTCTTCAAACATACACCTTTAACAACCTTTTTCGAATTTCTAAATTAACTATTCACGAGCATAGAAGTGACCTTTTTATTGAAGGCGACTCGACCCTGCGCTATCCTCTGCTTTATATCCCTACTACTCCTTCCGTCCTGACTTATCTGACTGACTAGATACCTAAAATCGGCCACTTCTTCTAATTTTTCGTCTCCTATCTTTATATTCGCTTTTTCCCCTACTATTTCTTCCTTTGCATACCAGTATTTTTGTTTTACTTTTATTTATTTTTATACAGTACCTACTGCTTTGTCAGTACCGCTTCCATTTTATTTAAAGCTATCTCTAACTGCTCCTTGCTAGATGCTAATACTGCTATATCATCTGCAAATCTAAGCATATTAATCTTTTCCCTCTGTATATCTATCCTACAGTTGTACTGTCTTTAATGATGTTGATCGCGTCTTCGATGTACCTATAGATTAAAAAGTAGCAGTAAAGTGTGCATCCCTATCTGACTCCCGTCCTAATATTTACTTCTCTACGTTGCAGCCCCAACTGACTGTTGCTCTTTATACAATCTAAGTATCACTCCTCTATATTTGTAACACGTCCCTACATCTTTATTCATATCATCAGTATATTATTTATTTATTTATATATTGAATTTAGTAATAATTAAATTTTTGAAAATGCTCAGTCAGCATTCTGTCCCAGTTTTAATATATTGATACTACATCAATTAATGATTTAAAAAGAACATTTTTCTTAGTAAATGTTTACTATTTTGATAAACTTTATAGGGAGGGACATTATAAATAAAGGACTCTAAACAGACGGAAACGCACAATAAATAATTTACAATGTACCACTGCTTGACGAAATCGACATTGGGTTAATGCTATTCGATTCAGACGAATCGCTAACCGCTTCCAGTAGATCTCTATTGGCTATAGCCGTTGTCTGTTCGATATGGTTCTCTTCAACTTGTTTGGTCAAATTGGAAATGATACTTCCGGTAAGTTCGGTGTCAACAAAATCTCTAAGCTCTTCGACTTCTTTGGTGAGAGGTGGTTCCATAACAACCGGCGCTCGACAACTCAGCAATCTATCCATAACCTCTGCCGTTACCCGTTTGGCAGGAAAAGTGTGTAAAGGAGTAGTACCAATAATAATCGGGATACCTGATAGAGTTAAGTGGGGATACCCGTAGCCCGAATATCTCGGAATCGCCGCTTGCAAGGTCAGCCAAATTTCGTATATGACATGACAGGAGCTGCAACGATTGTACTGGTTTGTTGGTGGAATAGTTTGATCGACTTCCAGAAGGGCGTAGTAGTCATACGAACCGGCTACAATGTCCACCATTCGGACTACCCGGCAAATATCTTTCCTGTACGTTTTAATCTCGGGGAAGGGCGTGCGACTTCGATATATTTCGATCATGGTCAACACCAATATCAGTCCGCCAAATTTTATTTCCGAATAGTTATCAATTGTTACGAGAACTGGTATGGATTGACCGGCAGCAAATCCACATAAAGGTAACCAAACCGAAACACTGACGGCACCCAACTGAAGTGAACCAAATTTGTATTTTCTTTTCGCCTTCCGACGACATTCATTGAGAAGGTAACCTTCTAGGGTCAAGTCACGATTGGGAAGCACCAAGATATCTTCTTCGTGGGTAAACGTTTCGAAGCCGCTCGTCTTAAGGGTGATTTTTAAACGGTACGATATGGAACCATATTTTCCGTACCACGTGGCAGGTCCGTGGGGAAATTTGGTGGTAAAATAGAAAATTTTTTTAGACGTAATCGGTAAAAATTCTTCACCGTTGTAAATGTTGTGTCGCGAGTAGTAGAAAATTCTGGATCCTTTCATTTTTGTGCCTTTGGGATAACGTTTAGGAAATCTGTACACTGATTTATCAAGAAACCATTCACATTTTGCTTCTCCCATGTATTCGATATACGCGTGAGCTAATCGCATCCCCTTCGACGGTACCAGCTCGATCTTTCCTTCAAGGGTTTCCCTGGGACGTACGGGTTCCACGTATATCATACAGGAATAGTTGTCAGTGAGCATTATACTGGTTCTTAAATTTTGTCCGTTTTAACATGTTAAATTGACTGTAATTTTGTTACAAGATGTTTAAGAAAATGTGATCCGATTGACACAAAACATGCCAATTGTGACATTTTATGTATCAGGTTGCGAAAGTGTAACCCTGGCATAGTGAATCTTAAATTAAAAGCTGTACTAATTATCGCTTTATAATGTTAAAAATTTAGGTGATGTTATGACTAGATTAATTTTCTCTTTTTTTAAACTAAATCTCACACTTTGATTTCATTATCCTGCCTGCGACCTACCGGTAGCATTGAATTAGGTTACGTTGGCAGCACTACTTAATGATAAAATTTAATTTTTACATAAAATTCAACTAAAACACCTCTGACTTCCAATAGATTTGACAAGGATAAGTTTTCCCTAGGGGAAGGTATGATAATAAAAATCAATTTTTGAGGGTACTCCATATCAAATAATAAGGAATAGGAAAGAAGCAGGAGGAACATTGTTATGAATTAAGTTATAAAACTATTTTATTAATACCTGTTGAAACGAAACAGGAACTGTTACCTTAGAGTGTTTAGAAATAAGGGTGGTGGATACACAAATTCGAACTTCCGCATCCATAGTCTACTTGTTGATACTGTCCTTGCCCACGAATACCTAAAATATTGGTTTAGTAATAGTACGTAAAACTGTATCTTCTTTTCTTTAAAAATAGGCTACAAAATGTTTTCAAAAAGTACAATAAGTTTCTATGGAATTTGGTAACAGATGTTGAAAATCGAGCAAAAGTGAGCTTTTTGTTGTACTAAAGTAAGTACCTTACAAATTGTGCTTTGGCAGATTCAAAGCGTTCAGTTAGTTATCTGACGCGAAAAGTTAGAACACGTTTAATGCATATCCTCTTCCAGTAATTTAGTCAAAGTAGGAACACGTCAAGTCTACTTTTCATTTCTGTATGACGTGAATTTTGTCATCACGTGAGATTCAGGACCTTACGATTTATTCCTTTTCTTGTGAGTTTATTAAGGTTCTAATAAACACCGTATAATACTTAGAAAAAAGAGACTGCAATAAAAGGGATATAAGTAGGGTTGCCACCCGTACTTTATTATAAAGTATTGTACTCTATTTCGACTGTGCGTACGTTATACTTTACAAGACACAAAGTACGCAATAATACTTTATTTAAGGCCTTAAGTAAACATCGTAATTTTGTAAGCGATTATTCGAAATTCAGAGTATTTTTACATCAATAATATTGTACAATACAATATTTTTGGAAATGTTTCTGAGCGCTAGTTTCACTGACAGGGAATTAAATTCCATTACAATATTAGATGTATTTAATATTATGACAAATATAAAAAACGATTTAATTAAAAGAAAAGAAGACAAGTTTTACGGAAAATCGAATCCATAGAACAATCTTCACCTGGAATAAAAGCAAGAGTGTATAAAAACTTCAATTTGTTTATAGAANACCGCTGACTGATGTAAAAAAGCCACAGACGCCCAAAACGCTTCGTTTGCGCTCAACTACTTTTTACAATTTTAAGAAATTTGATGGCACAGCATCAGCAACGACATCGACGCCATTGCTGTTGCTGCTGATACTGGAGTTTTACCACCATTTATCACATCCCAATTTATTTCCACTTACAAGATTCCAAATTAGTTCAGCACCGAGAAAACTAAATTTTTATGACAACGCAAAAATTACAATTTTCGGTTTTAAATGACTGAATTTGCCGTAGAAATAGTACAATTTATTAGGTAACTTGTAATAATGTATCTTATGTTCGTGGGATTAACAGAATTCTGTTAAATATATTTGTGTACTTCTGTGCTTTTTCATTAACATTTTCATCACCTTAAAAAAAGAATTTTAGCGTTTGTTGGCTTCTGATTGGTGAATAAAACCATATGTGAGTGTTTGTGTGTACGTATATTCATAAAGTGCGGTTTCATTCCCAGCGTGGTAATGCCATTAAAGGTAGTGTATTGGAAAGCGCGATAACGAGCACCATAGAAAACACTGACATCCGCGTATGTTTAGAGAAGTTCATTATCTTAGTTCTTGAATCGATATTACAACACGCATACGCCCCGAAATAAAGGGAAAGATAACTGGGTTGCTGTGTGAAACGCCTCAGGTGCTTTAACTAAAAAACAGAAAAGCACGGAATTGCGAAATTCTATAGCGCATAAAGACAGTAGATACGTAATAGTATCTCTAAAAATTTTCTGCGTTAATTATAGTACCGAGTTTTAAGTAATGTCTACTAGTAATGTAACAGACCTCTGCTTCCGCTTTAGCAATTACGGAAGTTCCGCATACTTTTTCACGTCCGCTTTTGCATTTGGTTTCGCACTTTTATAACGGAAGCTTACCGGAACTTAATAAAATCTTATTTCTCATCTTTCTGATAATCAATATATCGAAACAATAATACAAATTGTAAAAATTTATTGCTTTTCTCTGTTGGCTGCACTTGACCGTTTTCAAAATTCAATTTTATTGAAATTGCGCCAGTTTTCAGCGGCCCCACTGTAATATTGTAAACGTATTATTATCAACCGTTTATGTTTATGAAGTATTAGTGACAGTGACAATATGCAGCGTTATAGCCGGCAAAAAATTGTTAATAATAATATTGTCCCTATGCATATAACTTTATTATAGTGTAGAACACAAATATGTCATATTCTCTCATTCCCTACTTTAATCTAAAAAAAAAACTGGGCTTCCAGTTCCCCACTAACAGTCCTGCTAATAATTTCATTTTCAAAATACTAACACAGTTATATTTACTTATTCTGTATAATGTTTGTTCAACGTCGTAAGTCTTAAGTTAAAAATACAATTTTGAAGCCAAAAAGACGTCCTATTTGCAATTATTTTGTGATATTGACCATACAAGTATCAAATCCAAAATCTGTAACAAAATATTTCAAAAACGACCACTGCAATAAAGAGTAATTTAAAATCATTACAGTTTCGCTTCCGCATTTGCTTCCGTCTCCGTTTCCGTTTCCGTAAAAATTTACTATTTACTTCTGTTTCTGTTCCACATTTATATTCTCCCTAGTCAATAAAAACAAGAAAATATGTTCAACTATTTGGTGAAATACAGTAGAAGTTCAGCTGGAAATATTTCAGTAGCAGCAAATGCATACTAGATGGCGATACGCTGCCGCTATTTTGGCAATACAATAGAATTTGGTTATAATAACACTGGTTACAACGACAGCTCTGATATATCATCAATTTTTAATAGTCCCGCAAGTTTACTATTGAACCAACGCATATGTTTATTGTTTATTATCATATGGACCTTAAATTAGCAAAACATGTGTCAATTTGTTATGTCAAATATGTACGGCTTGTATTAAAAGTTACATATGCATAATTTACGCCTTATTCAGTTAGTACGTCAAAATACAGCCGGTGCCTAGGGCGACGTTATAACCGAGTTCTCTTGTCAAATCTTGCCTTAAAAATGCCTGTTGGTTTTCAATTTCAATTAACTATTGAACGTCAAAAAGTAATAGCTTAATTTATTTGTACTTTAACTTTTACACGATAATTGTGCTTTGGACAAAAAAGCTTCAAACAAAACGTTTTGTGGCAGGACGAAAAATAGTCTTTGTCCTCAGTTTTCTACCCTTTACTATTCATGAATATTTGTTAAAAGTTCTGAGTGAGTTTATGATCGCCCTATTTTAGTAAAATGACCGTTTTCCGTAACCTATTTTGAACGAAACTTTTTTGTGTAGATAGGCGGTATCGAAGGTGGATAAAAACCAGGAAAAAACAGTTTCTGCTAAAATATTAAAGGGGAATCTGTCCATAGGCTGAGATAAAGTTAGTCAGGTCCGTTTGGTTGGCATTCATAAAATGATACTGTGCAACAACGTGTGCGAACGAGCGTGTCTCTGTATGTGTGTGTATATGTGTAATGCTGATAAGGCATGCGTCATAAAACCGCTGACTGATGTAAAAAAGCCACAGACGCCCAAAACGCTTCGTTTGCGCTCAACTACTTTTTACAATTTTAAGAAATTTGATGGCACAGCATCAGCAACGACATCGACGCCATTGCTGTTGCTGCTGATACTGGAGTTTTACCACCATTTATCACATCCCAATTTATTTCCACTTACAAGATTCCAAATTAGTTCAGCACCGAGAAAACTAAATTTTTATGACAACGCAAAAATTACAATTTTCGGTTTTAAATGACTGAATTTGCCGTAGAAATAGTACAATTTATTAGGTAACTTGTAATAATGTATCTTATGTTCGTGGGTTTAACAGAATTAACTTCTAAGACTGATACGGCAAAAACTATTTATTTACACTAATTATTAAAGAACTTAAAAACACTATTAAATTATTACTAAAGTAAGGTTATGAATTATTCTATTTATTTACACTACTGTTGATATATCATTATTCACTGCGCTATTTATTTCACTGCCAATTTATTTCTGGATTCACTTCTGCAACGGTCAATTTATTTCTCCTTC